TGTTTTTTTGTTGTTGTTGTTTGTTTTTTGAAGAGACATTTGTTTTTTAAAGCAAACTTTCATCCCAAGTAAAAGAAATGTTAGCACAACAGATTTTTAAAAATTTTAAAATCTCTAAATTTCATGTAAATTTTGCTTTGTACATAAAGTTTTAGGTTATAATACCAGTACCTTTTCATGTATTTCATTCTTTTTTTTCCCCCCTCTTGTGGTATTGAGAATTGAACCTAAGGATACTCTACCACTGAGTTACATTCCCCAGCTCTTTTTATTTTTTATTTTGAAGCAGGGTCTTGCTAGGCTGCCCATGCTGGCCTTGAACTTGTGATCCTCCTGACTCTGCCTCCCAAGTAGCTGGAATTACAGGTGTGTGTCCCCACTTTCACTAGTATATTTTATTCTTCAAAGTCTAATCTTTTTTGTGAAATGACTCCAACAGGAAATTGAAAAGTAGAAGCCAACAAAAGATATAACTGGAGAGACTGAGTATAAAACACTTCTTGGAGATTGAGAGTGTAGTTCTTGCTTACTTGCCAAAGTCACTGGGTTCAATCTCCAGTACCATTCCTCCTCCCCCCCGCCCCCAAAAAAATAAAACAAAAAACTTATTTATATAATTCTTTTTTGCCAACCTAAAAGTTGACAGGTATTGCACCCATTTTTTAAAATGGCAGATAATTTGTTTCTTTCTGCCCACTGTACTTCTTCCTTACTTTCTGTGTCTAGCAAATTCCACCATTATTAACTCTTATACCTGCACACAATATAACAGAATAATTTGATCTGTTTCATTCCCTAGTACCTATACTTTAAGAAATTGTTTTTATATGAAGTCTAAGCTCTCAGTGTATACCCACTTCAGTGTTTACTTCAGTCTTTTTAATTTATATTTGTCTTTTTACTTCTCCAAGTATTTTAGTGTCAGAAATCTGTCTTGAGATTTGAGATTTCCAGAGATTTTAATTGGTTAAAAAAAAAAGTTGCTTGATAAATCATTTCTGCTTTCTAATATAAATTTTGAAATTACTATATGTATGGTTATTTTCTTGAAGGGAAGTTGAACTACATTGCATTGATTCTCAGGCTGTTTAATGAATTACTCAGTATTAGCTTAACCTAAGCAAATGTATAAAGGTATTTGATGGAGAAAAGTTTACCTGTAGCTAAAATATGGAACTGTGGTTTCATTTGTATCTCTTTTAAAAATACATGCCAAATAGGAAAAAAATAGAAAAATCATGATCCTGATAACCCCCCTGTCAGTTAACTTTTGGTGTTCACTTTATGACTTACATATTTGATCATTGGATTGCGTTTTTTGCATCTGAGTCACCACAGTTCCCAGGTACCTGATAAACTGGTAGACAGCATCATACACTGTGTCTGCTGGTGTGATGCAGGTGAAATACACTGTCCTCACTTGTGAAGTATTCTGAACTAAAAGCCTTATCCTGAACCAAATCAAACCTTTAATGTCGAGTTTTCAGGAATAACAGGGTGAAGAAGAATAAGTTAAACTAGATCACCTAGAAGTTATTAGATCCAGATTATGCAACATTTTAAAAGACAGTATCAGAGGAAAAAAAGGAAGGAGAGGATGGTGATAGTAACTATAGAAAAGAAGAACTGTTCTAAATTAAGACCTTTATAAACCAAACTAGTTTCATAAACTTTGATAGAATCCTAATTTTTTGTTTCAAAAGAAGACACATATTTTATTTATATTTTTATATATATATATAAAATTCAGCTTGGAAAGTCTGAATATGAATTGGATAGGAAATGATACAGAGGCATTATTGTGGTAAAAGTATTTTGGTTTTGTGGGAGAATTTTCATAGTTTTGGGGAACTAGGGGTTTGGAGTCATGATGTCTCTTACTTTTTTTTTTTACAAACAGTTCAACAAAAATACAGTTATAGGATAAAGAAAACATGACAAAATGTTAACAGAGGCTGAATGTATATGAATAATCATTGTTTTCTTTTTTAAAAAATATTTATTTTTTAGTTGTTATTGGATAGAATACCTTTATTTTATTTATTTATTTCTTTTATGTGGTGCTGAGGATCAAACCCAGGGCCTCACAGTGTGCAAGCACTCTACTGATGAGCCACAACCCTAGCCCCTATTGTTTTCTTCTTAAAATTTTTTCTATAAGTTCATAGTAAAAGAGGTAGGGAAGGATTATATATCCTAGTGGGAGAGAAAACCCCCATTAATCCTTAAGTATCTTTTGCCCGTTAAATCAAAACATACCCATTCTTTGTGAAAGAGCCACAAAATTAAGGTGTAATGTGCTACAGATTTGTCATCCTGTGGTTGAAGGAGCTTTCACATTTTTCACATGTAAATTTAAATCAGCGTGACCAAGTTTACTATAAATCTTTCAGAAAAACTGGAGGAAATCTGGTGTTTCTTAATAGACTGAAGAAAACAGTGTATGATTTCCTGGGTGCATTGGCCACTCCTGTGATCCCAGCTACTTAGAAGCCTGAGGCTGGAGGATTTCAAGTTTGAGGCCAGCCTACACGACTAGCTAGACCCTGTCTCAAAATAAAATTAAAAAGACAAAGTGTACGATATAGTAATGATTGACTAAAAAAAAAAAAAGGCTGTTGTTTTGAGATTATGATTTTCACGTCTTAAAAAGTTTTGAGACCAGAAAAAAACATGTTGCAAATAGTATAAATTTTATTTTGAAACTTCAGTATACTTTTTCTTGTTTGTGATGATTTTAGAGCCAGAGGACAAAACAAAGTACAGTCCTTGCCCCAGTCATTGATCTAAAGCGAGGTGGTTCATCAGATGACAGGCAAATTGTGGACACACCACCACATGTAGCAGCTGGCCTGAAGGTAAGCCTGTATACCCCTGTGTACCTGCGATCTTGATAACATTATCCTGCTTTTCATACAATATTGTTTTACATGTGTGTTACTCTTTAATAGATTGTCTATTCAATAGGCCTTTAAATAGTATTATTTCCAACTTAGTTTTTGCTTTTGTTTTCTCAATTTAAAAACATTTATATATTTAAAATAGTTATAGAACAATTAGAAACTAGAGATATGCAAAAAAGAAAAACAATTTTTCAGTCCTATTCTCCAGAAATTAAAAATTTTGAATTTCAGAATGTCTTTCTATTATATGGCTTCTTAGCATTCTTCTCTAATTTGCTTTTCTCACTTAATATGGTCTTCATTCTTTTCTCTAACTTGCTTTTCTCACTTAATGTGTTATGACTAGTCATGAAATATAGGACTGTATGATCCTAATATGTATTGCCTAATATGAATGTACTATAATTTGGATGAGTCATTTCTAATTTTTGCTGTTATCAACATTGTTGGTGCTTATTTTACTGTGGATTAAAATAAAGAGGTTTATTAAAATGAAGAGGTTTGAGAAAAACACAAACTCTTCTACTATACCAACCTTTATTATCCAAGTGATTTTACGTAAGCTTAAAAACAGACAGACATGGTAAGCTCTCTATAAGCTGGGTTAATAAGGATTAAAAAGGATAACTCAAAATTATTAAAACTGGGCAATATAAAGTACAAAGAATTTAATATAAACTATAGTTAAAATATGTCCACTCTTTAGGTATATAGTTATCTTTCTACAGATGGCATTCAAATAATACAACTGGTAGTTTATAAACAGTCCTGTGCATTGCACAAAATTGCTTGATGAAAAGTAATCAAAAGATTAATAATGGATAATGCTGTTATTGTTGACTTTTTCCAAGCAAAATACCCCTGCCATGGTCCCTATGTCATGGCCCCTCTCCTCCTTCCTCCATTAGAAAGGGCCAATCAGACTGAGAGACACTGTCCTGGCTGCTTTCTCTTTCTTTCTCTCTTTCTCTCTGTCTCTCCCCTAGGGTTTTTTGCTTCTTGCTTTCATTCTGAGATAGGTGGCAGCTTACCTCTTGGTAACCTTTTCTGGCCACAGAAGCTGGTGCTGCTTCTGAGGGCTATAAGTCCCTCAAGAGGACTGATACCTCCACCCCCAGTGGAGGTAGCTTTTTGCTGATTCTTAGTCATTTAACATTTCTATTTTTCATAAATTTGATACCTATTTTTTTCTTACTATATCTAATAAAAAATTGGTTCATCATCTTTTTGTAATTGTAATTCTAACACCTATAATATTTTTTCCACCACCACCCCACTTAATCATAAGCATTTTTCTTTCTTCTTACACAGAGTTTTCATGACTGATTTTTAATTGTAAAATATACTGTTAATACTTTAGTGAACTCTTCAGAGAGCTTTTGCTGTGTTTATAGTTATTTTCTTTGGGTTGATTTCCTAAGGTGGCATTTAAGAGATCAGTTATTTCTATGGTCAGTTTGTTTTAGGTCCAGCTTGTTTTTAACAGTAGTCAATATCACCTACAATATATCAGTATTTTAATTTTACTACATTCTTCCCTCCCCAGTTTGGGGGTTTTCACATTTTAATTGAGCAAACTGCTTTATTCTTTTTTTTTTTAATTAAAAAAATTTTTAGTAGTTGGACACAATACCTTTATTTATTTTTTTGTGGTGCTGAGGATCGAACCCACTGCTTTGCATGTGCTAGGCAAGTGCTATACTGCTGAGCTACAACCCCAGTCCTGCTTTATTTAAAGCATTTGAAAAAGGGTGGTTTAAGTCAGGCATGGTGATGCACACTGTAATCCTAGCTACTTGAGAAGCTGAGGCAAGAGGATTGCAAGTTCGAGGCCAGCTTGGCAATTTAATGAGACCTATCTCAAATTTTTATGGAGGTGGGGTCAATGAGTGCTGGGAATGTTGCTTAGCATTAGAGCATTTGCCTAGCATTTGCAACCCACAGTACTTTAAGAGATGAGAGTGGGTCATTATTAAGCTTAGAAGGGTTTATAATGTAAAAGTTGTTTCCTTCCAAATTTTGAAATGACCAAAAATCAACCTTCATGTTGACAATTTGTTCTCTTGGGTACATTGTGATAATAGTATTATATATATTGAGTGAGTGACTGTTAATTCACTCTCCAGTCTTAATGACTAAAAAGAAACTTCATTTATGTGCTTGTCTTTTGAAAACATCTTCTATTTGAATACAAATTTATGGCTCCTTTGGAAGCCCCTTGTTAAATTTTCCAGTCATAGGACTTGGATGGTGATTATGGTTATTTTTCTGATTGCTTTTACCAGATTATAAAGTTTCCTAATTTTTAGTCATAAGGAAGTGGTTTGCATTTGTTTTTAATGCAGAACGGCAAACCTCAATAGTATAGTACAGGAATAGTTAGATTTAGATCTGTTGATATTGAATACAAGCTATGTTGATCATATCAAGCTTTTTAAAAATATTTTTTAGTTGTAGATGATACAACACCTTTATTTTATGTGTTAATTTTTTGAGGATCAACCTCAGCACGTGCTAGGGAAGTGCTCTACCATTGAGCTACAACCCCAGACCTCATATCAGTTTTGATCTCCAATACAAAATACATTTTACAGATAGTTTTCTTGGCTGTGATACTACTGGGATAGTGTACTTTCTGAAAGAGGTAAAGACTTGAACACTTAAGGACACTAATCCTAACCTGTGCTTACTCAAGGCATCTGTGTAAACCAATGAAAGCAACTTATTTTTAGAGATAAGGAAGAGTTATGCTAAGAAAGCTAAGAAAAGAACGTCTGGAGTCTAAGGAAAGTTGTTGCATCTAAGCTCACAGAACCACATGTAGGTTGAAGCTACCCACCCATGGTAAAGTTTGTTTCAATAGTGTGCTTTCTAGTTACTTGTGCCCTTCCTTTTGTTTTTCCAATTTTTTAAGGCTACTCCTATTTCTCAAAGAACAGTCCAAGCTTCTACAGAAAATATAAAATGCTGTCATATCTAATCTTAGTGAGCCTTAAAAAATTATGATGCTGTAAACAAAATTATGTCTGTGTCAAACTTGGTGCCTGGAATGCAGTGAATAAGCAAGAGGATACTTTCTGAAATCAGTATTATTTCCATGTAAACAGAGTAAAGTTATTCTACTGAATGATGACTTTAAGAATGATTGCTTTTCATAAATAATTTCCTCTCCCTCCCCAACCCCCACCAATCCCATACTAGGGATTGAACCCAGGGATGCTTTACTACTGAGTAACAACTTTATTACTGAGTTCCCAGCATTTTTTATTTGGAGGCAGATTTCTGCTAAGTTGCCTGGGCTGGCCGTGAACTTATAAGTGTGCACCTCCTGGCAATAATATTTTTTTTGCTTCAAAGAGCTAGTGTTTAAAATTTTAGTTAGTGATGGCTTATGTAGGAGTTCCTGATAAATGCCATAGTCTATTAGGAAAATAGTTCTAAATTAAGAGATGGCATTCTCTATCAAGGTTCTGCTGCCACCTAGCTAGGTATGGTGTTCTTAGACATTTGTTTTCCCTTCTATAAAATTGTATTTGGATCCTACATGATCTTTAGGGTCTCTTTATCTCATTCTTGACCGTAATTCTTTAAGGTAACTTTGAGATATAAATATAATATTTACTTTGATATTTTACCTTCCTCAGGACCCTGTTCCCAGTGGGTTTTCTGCAGGGGAAGTTCTAATTCCCTTAGCTGATGAATATGATCCTATGTTTCCTAATGATTATGAGAAAGTGGTGAAGCGCCAGAGAGAGGAACGACAGAGGCAGCGGGAGCTGGAAAGACAGAAGGAAATAGAAGAAAGGGAAAAGTAAGATTTCACTTTAATTTGGATAATTTGCTGTTGAAATGTTCATTATAATACTAATGAATGAACTTTAGTCCTATCTCTAGGACTGAAGTTAGTTACCATGGTTGATTTGACTAATCAGCAGAAGGAATCACATTGTTTTTAAGAATTTGTTGTTATATCCCACCCTGATAACAAACTACAGCAATTCCTTTGGTGGTGGTGGTGGTAGTGGGGGGATAATAATAGAGATTGAAGCCAGGACCTTGAGCTAAGCACTCTACCACTGAGCTACACTCCATCCCAGTCCTTCCAAAGGTTGTGGGGTTTGTTTTGTTTTTCTGAGTAGTAAATGGGCACAGTACTTTTATTTTATGTATATATGTATTTATTTGTTTAAAAGTACTTATTTTTTAGTTGTAGTTGGATAAAACACCTTTGTTTTATTTATTTATTTTTATGTGGTGCTGATGATTGAACCCAGGGCCTCACACACACTAGGCGAGTGCTCTACTGCTGAGCCACAACCCCAGCCTTATGTGTATGTATTTTTATATGGTGTTGAGGATCGAACCCAGTGCCTCACACGTGCTAAGCAAGTGCTCTACCACTGAGCTACAACCCCAGCTCTTCAGTAGATCTTTATAAATGCTAAAAAACTAATGTATAAATTTTGGGTAAGTTAAAAAAATTAAAATCTGATTTTGAAGGATATTTTTCCCCTATGCTATGACTGCTAAAATTATAACTCTTTGAAATACTTAAATATTATTCTTTCTAGTTTTGAACCAGATGGAATTTTATTTTTCCCCCAGTACTGGGGATCATACCCAGCCAGGGCTTTGTGAGTGGGAAGCAGTACTCTCCTGCTGACCTATATCCCCTGCCCTCAGATGGAATTTTTTTAAACTTACATATCTTTTATTTTTGTTTTTGAAAAGTATGGGTAATGTAGTTGGATTTTTAATTTTTTAAATATCAAATTATTAATATATTAAATGATAATATTTTGTTTCCCATTTGTTAGATCATTAGTAAATATATATCCTAGAGAATTAAAATTAATTAATTAAGCTATTACTATATTTATATGCTTTAAAAGTCAAGAAAACTTTCTTACAATTTATACTTATGTACCTATTGTTTTTTGCTTTGTTTTGGTACCAGAGATGCCACCACTGAGCCATATCCCTAGCCCTTTTTATTTTTTATTTTGAGACATGGTCTCACTAAGTTGCCTCGGGGACTCACTTAAGTTGCTGAGGCTGGCCTTGAACTTGTGATCCTCCTGCCTTGGCCTTCCCACTGCTGGGATTACAGGCATGTGCCATTGCACCTGGCACCTATTAAGTTTTGTTCAGTTTATCTTTTGAATTTTTCTCACTTTTTATACTTTTGTTACTTTAATCTTAATTGGTTATTTCCAACCCCACCTCACAAATTAGTAATTTATTGTGAAAGAGGTTTCAGATATTTTCTGGCCAAGAGGAAGTCAAGGTGACTTCATTCCAGCTTCATACCTGAAAATCGATTCATCTGTGATAAGTATTGGTTTCCTTTGTTATCACAGGAGGCGTAAAGACAGACATGAAGCTAGTGGGTTTTCAAGGCGACCAGATCCAGATTCTGATGAGGATGAAGATTATGAGCGAGAAAGGAGGAAAAGAAGTAAGGCATGAACATAAATAATGTTTTAAACATGGAACAGTCCCTCTGTTTGCACATTTAATTTGATGAATTGTTCATTTGACATTGTTTCAGGTGATTTTTTTCTTTAGAATCCCAGCAGTCTACAATTGCATGACAGTTTCAGCTTATATTGTTTTCTCATATATTATCCTTTGGGCTTCACAAACTTTCTAACATTTATTTATTACTTTGAAAGTAGCATAAAATTTGTTCCTGTTCTTTTCCTTATCTGCAATGCAGTTATTTTTGCCTCTTTTCTAAAGTCTAGTTGCAGTTCTTGTCAGTACTGAATGAAGACACTATCTCTAGAGCATGTTAGTAACAAACATGCATGGATTTGAGGAAAACACTTGGTTTCTTGGAATGTTGCTTTCTTTTACTTGTCAAAAGGGAGACAGGAATTAGCACAAGGTGCTTTTTAAGGCCCCTTCTATCACTAGAATTTTGTAAGCAGAATTATAGTTGTGTTTAAGATATATTCTTGGAGTTGGGGCTGGGGCTCAGTGGTAGTGCACTTACCTGGTATGTGTGAGGCACTGGATTTGATTCTCAGCACCACATATAAATAAAACAAAGGTCTATCAACAATTAAAAATTTTTTTAAAAAAAGATATATTTTTAACTACCAGCAGTATGTAAGGGGATTGAGAGAATGGAGAGCTTCTTATTGTTTTGATTGCTGAGATTTCCTTGATTTAGTTGACTAGTTTGGTTGACAGATTTAATTTTTTTTTTTTTTAGTTGTCAGTGGTCATTTATTGTATGTATTTATATGAGGTGCTGAGAATCGAACCCAGTGCCTCACTCATGCTAGGCAAGTGCTCTACCACTGAGCTACAAGCCCAGTCCCCCAGATTTAAATTTAAATGAGAGATTTGACATCTTTTATTTGTATACTAGATAGGAGGCGCTGTTCTAAATACTTTTATAGATAATCTCCTTTAACTCGCAGGCTCTTTTACCTTCTCCCATTGTAAGAGTGAGAGACCTGGAGGCATATTTTGCCTTATCCGAGATCTTTTTTTGCCTGAAACCCTTGTTATAATATGGTATCTTTAACACAAAATCTATGTGAGTAATTTCATGAAGCTTGTCATATTGCTACATATGTAATTCTGTTATATGAACAGCAGTTTGGCTGAGAATGGTCTTCCCAAGCATACAGAAAAGGGTGTTTTAGGATGAATTTAAATTTTAAAAATAAACCTGTTGAGTTAAAAGAACAAGTTTATGATTTAAAACTCAAATCCTTAAATGTAAATTGTGAATTAAATGCATTTATACTTAACTATATGCTGAGCCCTATTAGCCATTGTAATTTTTTTTAAATGAGGTGTAATATTAACATTTGTTGAGTGCATCTGTGTATATCTGTCAGTCATTGGTGTTACACATTTTATGTCCATTATCTTAATCAACTATTGTTTGTTTTTATTAATATGTTTTGTAGATCTTTGAATATTTGTAGATCTCCTTTTTCCAGTCTAAAAATTGATTCTCTTTCTTGGAAGGAGGTGTGCTTTCTATATTGAGGACATTTTTTTTTTAATTTATTAAACATTAGCAAGAACTATAGTTTCTAATGAAAGACTCTGTGTTTGACTGGCTTTTGGTTAACATTAGAGAAGTAGCAGCATTATATTCATGATATGTACAGTAGTCCCACCTTACTGCCCTTTCATTTCCTGAAGTTTTGAGTTACTTGTTGTCAACTAAGTTCTGAAAATTACTATACAGTGCCATACATAAGATATTCTGAGAGAGATCATATCACATAACTTTCATTAGAATATATTGTTATAATTATTTTATTTAACTATTGTTGATCTCATTGTGCCCAATTTATAAATTAAACTTTATCGTGGATGTGTGTGGTATATGAAAAACATAGTCTTTGTGTGGGGTTCATTGTTGGATATTCATTTGAATATTTGGAATATACCCCTGCAGATTATTGTACTACTATTAATAGTTGATGCTTATATTTTAACCTGATAGTAGCAAGTTTTCAATATACTGAAGTTACTAGCACTAATTTGTGCTTGTCAGGGTCCATCAGTTATCACTCTTGGTCTTAATAACAAGATTGAAAAGAAATATAAGGGCTGGGATTGTGGCTCAGCAGTAGAGCATGGGTGGGACCCGGGTTCGATCCTCAGCACCACAACACATAAAAATAAAGGCATTGTGTTGTGTCCATCTACACCTAAAAAAATAAATAAATAAAATATCTAAAAATTAAAAAAAAATAAAAAATAAATATAAGGTTTTTTTAAGGTTCATATTTCTCCTTAAATAATTGCTGTCATTCAGTTCTGTCATTATTATGCATCTATATTGGCTTTAGAGTAATTTCCATTGTAAAATATTTTGTGTTCATGCATGTCGCGACCCCTTGCCCGCAAGGAAGACGCAACTCGGGAATCTTCTTTCAGCGGTTTATTCAGGCCCTTGATATTTCTTCTACTAATCCCTCGGATGCCCCTCCCAGCCTTAATATAGCATCTCAAGCCCCAATTCGAAGCTGCCATGTGGAACTTTTTCATAGGGTGCTGAAAAACCATGCGCCAACTCTCCCAAATAAGGAGTTGTTTGTCACATACCACAGCGGAGCCAGCGCCATCTTGTAATGGCGACCATAATCTGCATAAGCGGCAGAGGCGGCTCACCACACATGCAGAATACTTTTGTAGCCAATTTTAATTTGTATTTAAAAAATTATTTCATTGATGGTTAAGCCATATGCATTATGTATAGTTTATCCCTAATAAAAATTTCTTATAATCTCCATTCATGTCCGTTGATTGACAGAGGCAAATGGAAACAATCTCTCTTATCTTTTGGTTCTTTTGTATCTACATTTTCCATCCAGGAAACACAAGCAGGAATAGTGACAATATCTAACAGGTTTTTCAGGAACCAGGATCCATACTTCCAAATAGATGCTCTGATAGATTCACTCTATTTTCTCATCTGTAAACTGGAAACACCTGTTTCCAACGGTTATGAAGCCTAGATGAGCTCATGTATATGCTAGTCATGTATGTGTATCTTGTTACCCAGTGATAAATTATGTTACTTTGAGTTATATTATTCTCTTTTAAGTAACTACTGGTTCTCTGGATTGTGTAGTTTTGCCTAAAAATTCACTTGGCAATTATATTCTGGGACTTTTGAGTGCCTTTTGAAAAAAACGAAACAATTTTGTCTCTCTAGGTGTTGCCAATTTTTATGTGGTACTGAGGATCAAACCTAGTGCCTCATGTGTGCAAGACTCTATTACTCAGCCCCAACACCAGCACCAGCCCCAGTTTTCTGCATTTTTCATCTTATCTTTAGATGTTTAATCTAAAGGTAGATATTAGAAGGAAGGATGAAGTAGCAGCTCTTTTCTGCTTCTAGGAGTATGGTATGGGTGGATAATATGACAGTTGAATTGTATCACAGTTCTTGGGATTCTGGTATCTGAAATGGTTTCCCTCCTTTGACCACTACATTTATGTTTTTACAGGTATGGGAGGAGCTGCCATCGCCCCACCTACTTCTCTTGTAGAAAAAGACAAAGAGCGTATGTAGATCCTTTTCTCCCCCACTCTCCACCCCCCCAATACAAATTTTTAACCCAGCTGTGGGAAATCTTAAGCTTGAAACCCTCAGTTTCCTGAATTTAGAGCAGAACAACCTGCACACCACTCCCCTAGCTCTGACCTTGGAGGCTGCTGTGGTTTGGGGCTATTGCTCCCTTACATCCCTGATACTTAAGCCTTTTTAATACTAAGCTCTGAGGCTTAAGTTTTTATAGAGTAGAATCCATTTTTTTTAAATCAATTTTTTTCCCCAAAATTCATGTTAGATTCATTTGGAGTTGAGTATATTCATGACCTTCCACAAGAGGGCAGTGCCTTCCTTTGTTGATATCCCCCCCTCCCGCCCCGCATTGTTTCAGAACAGGTGTGTGTCCTTTTAGATACTTTGCCAAAACATTCCCCCCCACCGCTAATTCTCCCACTGAGTTATCCAGAATTGGGGGGTTAGTAGTAGGTTTTTAAATATCATGTTGACCATTTTCCCATGCTCTGGGTTGGGCCAGACCTAAGCTGTCCTAAGAAAATATAATTATCCGTGGTATTTTTAAATATCTGTTGTACTATTAAAATATCATTAAATATCTATTATGTGAAAATAACTGACATATAGTAAACCTCAGTTGAAAACAATCTCTGGGAATGAGGCCAAGCATCTGGGTAGCTTAAAGCTTCCTTTGAATTCTAATGTGTAACGAGGGTTGAAAACCACTGCTCCAGTGTATGGTCCCTGACTCAAACAGCTTTATGATCTGTGAGACTAATGAGATAATAAGTTGGAGTCTTAAGATAGGTACACAGATGCTATGGGAGTCAGCTGAAAATTATATTGTATCTCTTTGGCGCATACAGGAAATCTTAATGATTTACACAAGAATTGTCGTTAAACTCCAAAGGATATGTAACATTTCAGTCGATGTCAGAGGACATTTAATGGGGATATAAACAAGTAGAGGCAGTTAGAATCAAAGGTTATTCTACTTCAGATTAAAAAATATAGAGACTATAAATTGGGAGTTTTTTCTTGTGATAAACAAAAATGTTGGCTAAACCAGTTAAAGATAATTAACTGATAAAAGTACAATTTCATGTAGTTTTGGTAGTATTTTTGTGAACCTGCTTTATTTTTCCCCAATAGTACCCCGAGATTTTCCTTATGAAGAGGACTCAAGACCTCGATCACAGTCTTCCAAAGCTGCTATTCCTCCACCAGTATATGAGGAACAGGATAGACCAAGATCTCCAACCGGGCCTAGCAACTCTTTCCTTGCTAACATGGGGTATTGGTTTAAGTGTTTTCATTTAAGAAAGTGTAAAAATGGTTTGAGGAACAGTGTAAAATAATGTTGGGGCTGGGCACAGTGTCGCATGCCTGTAATTCCAGCAGCTTGGGAGGCTAAGGCAGGAGGTTAAAAAAAAAAAAAATCAGTTTTACAAGGCAAATTCAAAGCCAACTTAAGCAAAAGTGAGGTGCTAAGCAACCCAGTGAGACCCTGCCATTCTGGTTTATAGGAGAAACTTGGAGTGTGTTCAGTCACTTAGTGCCTTGGTCAAGGATTAATGTCCGAGTTATGTTAAGTGCATTCCAAGATAGTACAGTTTTCTCCAAAACAGCTAATACAAGTTTTGATTGATTTATATGTTCTTAGGCCCATTTTTATAACATTTCCCAAAAAAAACTTATGTGATTTAGAGCTTTCTTCAGTTATCTGTAAAGGATAAGTGACATCTTCTTTTCCTCACAAAATAGGTCATTTGTGGTAAGGTCATGGTTATGTACTATTGACTTAAAACGGTCTAACTCAGTGGTATAATGTTTGCTTAGTGTGCATGAGGTCCTGGGTTGGGGGGGGGGCAAAAATTGGACGTTTGTTTGCCAGGGTCTAAAAATCAGTTTAAGGTTGGTATTCAGATGAGACTTATGAATTTTCTTAAAAATATCTTTTAGCTTTTGATAGACCTTTATTTTATTTGCTTATTTATATGTGGTGCTAGGAATCGAACCCAGTGCCTCACACATAGAAGGCAAGTACTCTACCATGGAGCTACATCTCCAGCCCCAAGAATTATGATTTTTTTTTTTTTTACCCTGCTGGATTTGGCATTTCAGATAAGAGAATCTTTTATATTATTTACTCTGATACTGTGAAGGGGCTATGAAACAGTGTCACTGAGGTATTTGTTTTGTGTTGTTTGACAGGATGCTCCCTCTAGTAGAAATGCTACTAATGAGACAGTCAAGTATGGTAATCACAGTGAGCCATTGTACCTCTTTGCATCTGCTTTGGTTCTCAAAACCCTCAGGTAGCTGCTGAGTTAAAGTAGATGACTGGCATTTGTGCATCTCAGGAGCGTTTTGAATTCCTGAGTTTCTTTGTGTTCTATATCCTAGACCTATGTGGTTCTAGGTCTAGGATATAGAACACAACTGACTCCCATAGCATCTACTAGCCATAAGTGGTTATCAAAATTAATTTGAAAAACAAACACTTAAACTTTAGTTCTTTAGTCACAGTAGTCTTATTTCAAGTGCTCAGTAACCACATATGATTAATGGTTACTGTATTTGACAGAGTAGATGCAGAACATTGCCATTACTGGTAAGTTTAATTCCCTTTTAAACAAGCATTAACTTAGTTAATATTTAACTTATATTAAGAAACATGCAGTGTGGCGGGTGCAATGGCATAACCATTGTATAACCCCAGCAACTTGGGGAGCTGAGGCATGAGGATTGCAAGTTCAAGGCAAGCCTGGGCGGTTCAGTGAGACCCTGTCTCAAAAACAACAAAGACTAGGGATGTAGCTCAATAGTTGAGCATCCCTAGGTTCAATCACAGTACTCCCCTCTGCCCCCCTGAAAAGAAAGAAACAATGCAGAGTGGATGGGGCACAATGGTACATGGGCACCCAGTTCCTTGGGAGCCTAAGGAGAATTCCAAGTTCCAGTCCAACCTGGGTGACTTAGTTAGAACCTGTCTCAAAAAGGATTAGGGATATAGCTTGATGGTAGAGTGGCATGTATGAAGCCATGGATTCATTCCCTTGTGCTGTCAAAAAGAAAAAAGGAAAGTAAGATACAGTTGTTTCTTTTTTCTTTTTCTTTTTTTTCTTTTTTACCCCCTTGGAATAGCTTGTTCAAAAGACAATCTTAAAAGAACTAAGTACATAAAAAGGTAGGTACAATTCTAGTGGAAGCAAGGTTTTGTGATTCAAGCTTAAGCAGCAGTCTTTGTTGGAAAGTGCCCTTGAGACCACCAGGCATCTCACAGTGGAAGGTGAAAGGTATTAGGCTGTTTAGCCCTATTTATTTCTTATTTTGAGTCAGGATCTTGCTAAGTTGCTGAAGCTGGTCTCAAACCTGTGATTCTTGTTCCTCAGCCTCCCAAGCTTGTGGGATTACAGGCGTGCACCACCATACCCTAATATAGAAATAATTTCTAAATGTGACATTTTGCTTTACCTTCTAGCTAGTCTTAAGCTAGTCACCTTATCTTGCCCTTGGTTATTTTATTCCTCCTAAGTACAGTAGATGATCTCATAAGGGTTCTTAAATTTATAAAAATCTTTCATTGGAAATATATTGTTATTTAGAAAAATATAGTTATCTTCATTATCTGAAACTTCATACTTATATTTTTACAGACCACTGTTTTAAATAAGTCTAGTTATAAGATATGTAGCAGTACAGATCAGGGAATACATAAGAAGTCTAGTGTTTTTTTAACAGTACTAGAGAAACTAGCATTTCCCTGAGAGTTAACCAAAGGATATCCTGGATTATGCTTACGTTTCTTGTCTTTTTTTTTTTTTTTTGGTTCCAAGTATTAAACTCACAAATAATTGACCACTTAGCCACATTGCCAGCCCTATTTTGTATTTTATTTAGATACAGGGTCTCACTAAGTTGCTTATGCCTCAGCCTCCTGAGCCACTGGGATTACAGGTGTGTTACCATACCTAGCTTGTATTTCTTTTTATATTTGTATTTCTTTGATCTAAACATCTCCACAGCTTCCATCTGAAGGCCTACTCATTGTATGTGATCTCATCAGGACCTTTGTGGAATTTATACTTTCTCTCTCCAGGAGATTATTGTGGTGTCCAACTTATACTATAGTTGATAATATCTACTGTAAGGACCTTATCCATTTTCCCCCTCTTAGTGGCACAGTAGCACATAAGATCATGCAGAAGTATGGCTTCCGAGAAGGCCAGGGTCTGGGGAAGCACGAGCAGGGGCTGAGCACCGCATTGTCAGTGGAGAAGACCAGCAAGCGGGGCGGCAAGATCATTGTGGGTGATGCCACGGAGAAGGGCGAGTCTCAGGGTAAGTTCACAGAGAAGTCTTGATCCTTCAACCCAGAGGGAGAGATCAACCCTCCCTTCTGGCAAAATACGGTAATTTGTGAATGATGCACTTCTGCTTCTGTTTGGGAAGGCAAGAATCTTGAGAATGATCTTTGTTTTTCAGAATAGAGGTAGAGAAAATAAGTTCATACCTACTTTGACTAGACAGAGTCCTTTTAACTTGATAAAATATTTGTTTTCATAGCATTTAGATTAGAGACATGCACATTTTATCAGTGATTATATCTGCTCTACCTCCATCTTCTTTAATAGCTCTTTACTTTTTCCTATCTTTTCATTATAGATGTAGTTGCTCATTTTCTTAGAGATTATTTGCTCTATAAGATCTTATATTACTTTGTAGTCTGTTCTAATTGGTGTTTTTATTTTCATTTGATTCTTATAGTCAATTCTATACTGGGAACATTTGGGAATGAGACAAACATGGCATTTTAAGTAAAAAATTGAGTTGATTTTGAGTTAACTTAGCTGAATTCCCTTTCCTAAAATAGGAAAAAACACTTCTGGTAGCCCTATTGCCTAGCTTATATAGGAAGCAGCCAGTCAGTGTAATTGTTAGTACCAGAAGCCAGCAGTTATCCCAATATCTGAATTAGCAAGTGGCTAGATAATTAACTGCTTAATGTCCTAGGCTAGTGATCTTGGACTTTAAACTCCAATGTAAAACTCACCAGTAAGGGTTGTAATCCATATGCTCTGTCAGGAAGAGCACAAAGAGCACAAAATTGCAGGTAATGGTAGACACTAGAAACTTTCAGAAAATATTATGAAAACATACCAAAGCAAAGCAAATGTTTTGTAGCAGAGACTGATTGCATAGATGTTTGTATGTCTTAGTGACAAAAATGATGGAGATTGCTGTTGGAATTAGTCATTATAATAGTTCTATAACATATCTGATGATGTTTTGATACAGATGCATCCAAGAAGTCAGATTCAAATCCATTAACTGAAATACTTAAGTGTCCTACTAAAGTGGTCCTACTGAGGGTAAGAAGCAAAAGAAAGGAACCCCTGTCTGTCTACCTTGATTTTTATGTCACCCTGTTCTACCCTATCCCATATGCTTTCACCTCCACCAATGTAAAAGTTAAAAATGAAACTGAAAATAATACTTTTGCAAATAATGCCTTTGGGAATCCCATATAAGACTGATTTTTAGATTCGTTTCTAAGCTGAATACAGTGTTTGAGAAGTCAGTGACCAATTACTTTAAAATACTTGAAATTGCTAGAACTTCCACTTAGTTCATACATTTTGGTGCTTGCATAGATGCTCATTTAACTTTTCAAAGCCTAATGTATGTGTAAAAGAATGCCATCTTTTGGGTGCTTGAAGGATAGATTTTTTATTGTGTCATTTGGGATTAAGAACAATTGACACTGAAAAATATTCTTATTTATAAAACTTACATATTCGTAAATTATACTTGTTAGTTGAAATTTTTTTTGTTGTTGTTTATAGAACATGGTTGGTGCAGGAGAGGTAGATGAAGACTTGGAAGTTGAAACCAAGGAAGAATGTGAAAAATATGGCAAAGTTGGAAAATGTGTGATATTTGAAGTAAGAGAGTTTTGGGGTTTTTTTGTTATTGTTATTGTTGGTTTGTTTATAAGTTTACTCCAACACAAATAATATCTCATTTGATAACTTTACTCATTGTACTTTAATTTCTTTTCCAGATTCCTGGTGCCCCTGATGATGAAGCAGTACGAATATTTTTAGAATTTGAGAGAGTGGAATCAGCAATTAAAGGTAAACTGCACAGCTAAATATTAAAGAATTTTTAAAAGTTGAATTTGTGACCCTAATCATTATAATTGAAATGATTATTATTATTTGTTTATTTTAAAGTTATTGTTTAAAGTTAATGCATTGTTTTATAGGATACCTGTATTAACTGACTGTCTTTTTGTTTGCCTTTTAGCTGTTGTTGATCTGAATGGGAGGTATTTTGGTGGAAGGGTGGTAAAAGCATGTTTCTACAATTTGGATAAATTCAGGGTCTTGGATTTGGCGGAACAAGTTTGATTTTAAGAACTAGAGTCATCTCTGATGATCCTTAAATGAGCTGCAGACTGAGCAAAGACAAAAAGTCAATGGCCTCTGTGGCTGTTGAATACTGAGACTCTTGGAAGGACTTCTAAGATATATGTTGATTGATTTCTTTTTTATTTTGTGATTTTTTAATATAGTATAAAAATACTTTTAAAAATTCTTGTGTGCTTCTCTTTTTTTTAATTGCTAACTTCTGGGTTGATTCTATTCTTGGTTGAGATTTCATGGTAATTCTCAATTGCTTCAGTGATGATGCAGCACTTATATTTAAAAAAAATATAGAAAGTATTGGGACTTGGGATTTGTATTAAATTATCCCTTCTCTCTCTCTCTCTCTCTCTCTCTCTCTCTCTCTCTCTCTC